CAGATACCACATTTGTAAACGAATAGCTTTTTTATCACATTACTAACGATCTATACGTTTGAGCTTCCAGTCATGTTAGCCAAACCAATATTTAATTATTAAATTCTTAACTTCCGGTGGTCCAAACGCGACATGACACATAGATAGATAGATTGGCTAAAAGGTAAAACTTAAGTCAACCTAGCCTTTGGCTAGTCCGACTAATAATTAGCCTCTGATAGCTCCCTGACTCCCTACCACAGTATGGGAGAAATTGACAGACACCAAATGTCTGTTGATACATTCACCAAAGGCCCCTAAAGGTAAGTACAGTATTTTTGCATATTTTCAATGAGTGTAAAATGGATTATAAACTAAGTGAAAACATAATGTAATTATAGAAACCTCTGTAAATTCATAAGTTGCAAAATTGAACAACGCAGGATTAACGCAGTACTTACACTGGAGTTACGAGACCGGTAAGTATATATTGCACTGTAAGATCACTTCTTGACTTTTATCCTCAGAATACTAATTATGACCCGCAATTTACAACGCCATTGTTTACTTCTATATACAACACAAATCACTTGGAATTATTTCTATCATTTGAAATAAACAATAGAATTTACCTTCATCAAACACAAAAATCTCACCATCGCCATCTTTAATTTTCAAAACGAGACTTTTCATTGGTTACCTATATACTTTTAACTAACCAATCACTATCTTGGAAAGAGGTGAAACGGGATTGATTCTAAAAGACCAATCAGAGTACGCATTCATGAACCAATCAAAATTTACAATGCCTCACCATAGTTTATCACTTATTTCCTCAGAGGTAAGGATACCCGGTCCAACTGCGACATCCAACTCCGACATTTGGTAAAACAGCCAATGTAAACACTAAATAAAATCAGGAGTATCAAACCAGCACCATGTCCTCAGAAAAAAACGAAGAACGATCCAATCGTTGGTTACGTTCACGAAGTTTCACCAGTGAAACGAAATAGAACAAACATAATGGACAACGTTAACAGACATCCGAAACGAATACACGTGAATCAACCAACTCTGCTGTATTCGCAAAAAAACGTCTCTTGCCGGCACATCAATCGGAGACTGAGCAGACGCCAGTCAAGCTACAAAACTACACAATCTTCGACGAGCATATGTAGACTGAGTGCATGTTTAGCGAAATACTAAAAGAAAATATCGACGATTGACAACAAAACAGAAGTCCGCCAACTAAAAGAACATGATGAACTTAGACGCAATCACCATAAAGCAAAAAGACCGGGCAAAAAGAACATATGAACTCACTGTTATCGTGGAAGAAGTACAGACGATCCCAACCTTTGACAAGTTTTTTTGAAGTGTAAAAAATGCTTAAGAAGAATCCTGGTAACAACTTCGATCCAGCGCAGTGCGGAACATTACGTCTGAAAAACCGGACGTTAAGACAGTGACATTGCATTGACACTTAAATCACAGGATATATTCTTATTAACATGGATGAAAAACAAATTGTAGAAAAACTATTATCTAGAAAATGTTAACTACCATACTACCATGGTAGTAACAAAAGCCAATGTTTGACTTTATTTAGTAATATACATGCAGCGATGTCCATGCTTGTCATATTGGCCAAAATTTTCAAATTTGTTACAGTTCCTTTTAATTTAAACTATTATACGAAAAATATGTATAAGTTTTAAGTTGAAATATTTCTAATGTTTGAAAAATATACTTTGTTTATAATGTTTATACAAACTCGAAATATGTGAGTAGTAAACATAAATCAGTAAAAACAATAAAACAAAAGATAAATCTCACAAATAAAGCCTGATATTTATTGGCTGCTATATATGATATATGCAAAATTATAGGGTTTTCTCTTATAGTCGTATTTTGATGCGCCACAAAATTCGGAAGTGTAATCGAGCCCCAAAGAAACTACGAAAGGGTAGAGGCTCTATCGATATAACAATTTACACTGAATATTAATATTGATGGTTTTCAACCATTCCCAGGAGAGAAAGTTAAACAAAAGATGTCCGCCATTGCTGGTGGACCTGACAAAAGAAAACCACCACCGTGACTGGTGGACCTTTTTGTTTTGCTCACTCTCATGGGAATGGTTGAAAACCATCAATTGCGATTTCACTACTAGATTTTTATCAACAAGAACCCCGAGTTCACGCAGGCATGCGTCTAGTTGTGACTTAAGTTATGATACGCAAGCCATTTTAATCTATCCAAAGCCGACCAAAGCCAATCATAAACTACAGGCCTTCTATCTTAAAAGCTACTGATATTCAAAGCTCTAACTACTATAAAAGAACAATAGACTCAAGTGCCGATTGTCAACAAAACTGTACAGGTGAAATAACGAAGGATTGCAAACAAAGGATCAGTGAATGGTATTTGCGTTAGACCAAATCCGGGACCAAATGTCTGTCAAAGTAAGGACAATTCTTGGTCAACAATAATAATATTAATACATTTTCTTTTTTTACTATTTTCAATCCAAGGAAGGATTTTTAGTTTTACTTTATATTTGATAATTAAAGTTTTTATTATTCTTTGCAATAATTGCGGTAAATTTATCAAGTCAAAATTATATAAGTCTTAATTATTATGCTATCAACTGGACTGAGAATTTATTATATTTTTTGGTCACGGCAAGAATAAATGAAACTACATATTCTATATGTATCATTAAACCAAGAGACTACACTAATAAGAACCCCGAGTGCACGCTGACAAGCGTCTTGTTTGGTAAAAACTAGATAAAACAATACGTAATGCTGAAACGTTTGAATCTTTTAAAAAACTAATCAGATCATTAGATCTTGATAGTAAAATTAATACTAACTGTAAAAATTGTCTTTTGTGTTCTTGTTAATTAACTGTAAAAATTGTCTTTTGTGTTCTTGTTAATTAACTACTAATTACTAATTACTAGTACTATTTGTATGGGTACTTATAGGGAGGGACTGCATTCTAGTATATATTATCTTTTTATATATTATAACTAGCTTAGATAGGTGTCCCCAATTAGCCTTACTATTGTAAGCTAGATCAATCTGACACGTTAATAAAGTTTATTATTATTATTATTATTATTATACGGCATAAAAGTCATGTCTATTTTACAGGTTTATTGACTTCAACGGTTGGGCCTGTTTCTTGAGCTTTTTCCTGCCACAGGAGCCCCTAGGCTTGCATCATTAAGCTTGACTAGTCGACAGAGAAAATCGTCAGGAAGAAGTCAGAGGTGGAAAGCGACTTTTCGAAGACAATGGCTCCAAGTCATGGTTTGTTTTGAACTGGAGACATCATTGTAAGATCGCTTTCCTGGTCCATCTGTGGCAGATTTTCCAACCTAACAATGTAATTTTGGAAATATTTGACATCCAAAGAATGAAATCGGCCCAAGTATTTTGACTGTATGTCCGGTTTTCATGATCAAGCTAAAAAACATTATAATATAACAAGCTCTGTCCACGATGTCAAAAGTGACTTTTTATGTGGAG